CATACGACGTGGCACTTAGCGTGCAATTTGATATTACGTAGCGTTCATCACCTTAAATCTCCCGTCACCATCATCATATTATTATACGACTGCCGGTGCTATCAGAAACATCACACGAGCCGCAGGGCCCATTTATTCGCCACATATTATTATTTTATAACCCCCACCATTATTATTATTATTTGTTTTCTATATCTCTTAATTAAATATTGAGATTTACGATTTATTTATTTATTTTTTGTAATTCTAAATTATTTTGTATAAAATTTATACAATATTTTTAAATACATATTATCTGAATTAAAATTATCAATAAAGTTATCGTATCTAAATTATATATTCTTAACATTTATAATTGCAATAAATGTGAATTAATTTTGGCAAATAATTAAGTTCTATTTCTGTTTATTTCTTTTATAAAAAGATAATTATGAACTTTTTTTGTCTTACTTAGAGATAAAATATTTTTAAATTCATTTATAAATTAATTTAATTAGGAAATTAAATTTTTTTTCCCCCCCTCTAAGCAACCTGTGAGTTGATTATAAAGTAAAGATTAAACCTAGAAAAATATTAGACGTAGCCAAAATCTAATTTTGGAGAACCTTAATAAAGAAGAAAGATAAAAAGAGTAGGAAAAGGGAGAGAATGAGAATAGCACTTTTTTATTTGGGTGTATATTTATGATCTTTGATTTTATTTATTTATTTATTTTTTAATTTTTAAAACCATATAGTTAATGAAACTCAAAATAATATAACCATGTTACAACATGTTATCATGTAATTTACATATCCATAATTATGTTACCTTCTTTTAATTCATATAATTGATTATTTATTTTATTTTTAAATTTTGCTAAATAATTTATCAATCTAATATTTTATTTTAATATATTTTTTTTAAAAAAATATTTGATATTGTTTAGTAATTTCAGTTTGGATCTTTTACAAACATAGAAGGAAAATTATTAAAATAACAGTAAAATTTTTATTAAAAAAAATTAAAAGTGTAATTTCAAAAATCAGAAAGACTATTGTTTGGTATAAATAAATTTTATTTCTAAAAAATGAACAAACAAATAATTAATTTATTTACTGAATTAAAATAACAAATGAAGCTGCGCATATGGAACTGCGACTGCGACTTCGAACGAAACGGCATGCGTAGCAATTACTTGAATCCCACCTCATGTGTCATGAGGAAATATGAAATTAATTATTTTATTCACAGAAAATAATAATTAATTTAAAAAATAAATCGTAACCCTAAGGTATGAGGAGAAGGCATTAATTCTGTAAGGTCACTTGGTTAGCCAGTGAAGGTGCGAGCCTGTTACGATTACACAACCACAGCCGCGAGATAACCTGATCCATGGCCCCGAACCAATCGTAGCCGTCCATTTATCATACAGTCAAACAAGTCAAATGTTCCCGTACAACACCTTAATTAATCAATTAATTAATTTGAAAAAAGAGCTCCAGAGAATGGAATTAACCGTTCAAGATTCAAGAATGGCCGCTTGGGCGAAAGCCCAATCGTGACCGTCCGACTCCAGATGTAACGGCCTCAATGCATTCTCTGTAAATTGAACTGCTCGACCTTTACCGGGCTGGCAACCGTATATAAATGCGTGAAATGCGCCTCGCAATTTTCTTCAAATTTTTCGTCGCTGCTCAATCGTTATCTTCTTCACTCGTGTATTCCATTTATTGTCCTTGCTTCTATTTGCTTTTGTAAAAAATTGCTCTAAAATTTTCGTTTTCATATTCGATCTTTCAGCAGCAAATAGTACGTGATCAGGTGAGTAATAAAATGGAATTTTGTAACTTCTTGCTTTTCGATTTACTTTCTTATTGCCAAAATTAGGTGACATAGCAGGTGAAATATTGGTTTATTTCGATACTTTGGGTATGTCTTTGCCATGTCTGATGAATCAAATATTGTGAAATTCGTAATTAGGAAAAAAAACAAGTATTCTGGGTTTCTTAATGCTGAAGTAGGCACGGACTTACTGTATGTTCTTGTGTTTGATTGAAGATGGCGTATTGTTTGATCGGAGCTTTAGTTTGTGCTTTTTATATCGTCTGTCGTGTTATTATCAATGATCTGGTATTGATGGGGCCAAATTTATAGCTTTATCTATTAGTTTTAGGTGAATATTTGCTCTCGTTGTAACACCTATAGGTGTTGTGCTCTAACAGAGGGCAGTATATGCGGTAGGTCTTCACGGTCTCCCATAGAAAACCTGATTTTAATAATTAAATGTAATTATCAGAGTTTATAAACAAGGTATTTGTTTCGGATAGTGTTAGCACCGAGTCAAACCTGTTCATGATCACTCTTCATTCAATTATTGTTTGACTGGGAATTTGGTTTGTTTGTGTTCAAATAGAATTCGAGCTTGTTCCTAAGCACGTTTATTTTAATGAGATAAATAAAATTCTACAAACTTGTAACTCAAAAGCTTGGTAGTGGGTTTTATTATATTTAACATATTAATCTTGTTTTTATACTTGCAAATATTTATACTTGTGTTCATTTTGTTGTTAATATGTGTTATGAGATATTTAATGCATTCCTATTATATATAATACTATCGATTTGTTTTATTAGAAAAACACAGATTTATCTAAAAAATACTCTTAATGAATTCAAACTCGGGCCTCTCAGCTATTCAACCCACTTGATTGTTAGCATCCTTCAGTTTTTGAAACTTGGACGTGAAAGGAAAAATCGTGGATTGTTCAAAATTTCTTCTCTGGGATTCTCTTTTGCTATTTAAGTATATTTATACGGGCCTAAGAAAATGCTTTCCATTTGGTTCAATTCCTACTAGCTATCTTATTCTTTCCCTCATATAATATTGACTTTAATGCTTAGAATCTATCATATTTTCATGTTTTAACCACTTTCACTTTGCACATTCACCTTAATATTTTTTGGGGTTGGTTCACAATACCTGCTTAGTTAGAGTTTCTAAATTTGGAGCTTACCATTTTAATTGCTATTCATGTGCAGGAGGAAAGTGGAGGTGGATATGTCAGGCTTTTCAGCAGTTGATTCTCAAACCTAATTTTATACTGTTTACAGATTGCAGATACCAACTTTGTTGACATTAGGGTGGTTCTTGTTTGTTCTTGGGAATATCTTCTTTGAACAAATGGTCATGTACGGGCAAGATAATAATTCAGATTTTCTTCAGTGGTTTCTTGGTTATGATCCTTGCTTTCCTTCTGGGTCGAATCTTGAGATAATACAGCATGATGCTAATGACATCTACCATGGACAGCGTTACAGAGGTTACGACGATGCAGAGTGTACTCATGTAGAAAATGATGAGATTATAGCACGGACTCTTCAAGAAGAGTTTTCACAGTTAGAAATTACTGAAAACTCTCAAAATTCATACACTGGAGAAGAGTATCTACAAGCATCCACTAACACGAACCATTGGCATGATCAGCCAACAGAGAACTATTATTCAGGTG